GTCTCGGCAATCCAATGTGGCACTTTACGCCCAATCAGGTTTAGGATGTTACACAACTCAACTCGATAAGTTCGCGAGTAACACGTTAATAATTTTTTATAATGTTTTAGTAGTTATCTTAAAATTTTGTTTCATTCAAAAAATTACTAATTTACTAATAGATGATAAAAAGATGATAAATGACTAATCTATTAATTTTTTAATAAATAATAAAAATACTAAATTATTAGTTAAAAATTATTATTTTAATATACCCAAAAATCAAACACTAATTATTATTTTAATGTATTAATAGATTATTATTTTAGATTTTAGACTTTTAATTTGTCTCATAAACTTTTTTGATAATTTTTTGTTTAAATTTATTAATTTATGTCTCTATTAAGCTCTATATAGTATTAGTAAATTTTACCTATAGTTAAAAAATAACATAAAATTTCTGGTGAGGTTAGCTAGCAACGAGGTAAGCAACAAGTTCAACAAGAACGAGTTGAGCAACAAGTTTTTTTAATGAGCACTAGTAGAGCAAAATTTTAATGAGCTTAACGAGCAACGAGTCGAGTCGAGTCAAGTGACAATTTTTTTTAACGAGCATGAGTCGAGCACTGCCCAACTCGCAATTGACTATCTTGATAAGCACCCCTATGTCGATTAGTCGCAATTTCATAGGCTTATCGTTCATCAAGTGGAGGTGAGGTCGGTGGATCTTCATCAACAGTAAAGGACGACGATCGACGTAGATTTAAGGGTTGGAATTGAGGTTTTCAAAGTTTTGGGTTTTTAAAGTGTTTTGGAATGTTTGGGTTTTCTAAATAGAATTTTAATTTTTTAATTTAAAATAGTTTTAAAATTAATCAAATGTGACATGTGTCCTTTAATGGCAGAATTTAACAATTGTTGCGATCGAGGCACCTAAAGTGGTAGTATTTATAATGTTGGACTGCTGGATGATTCAAAAAAAAGTTTGGGCAGCTATTTAGGACAAGAGGTTTAGTTTGAGCACTTATTTTATAATTAAGCCTATATATCAATAACATATATTTTTTTCACATGGGTGGACACAAATCAAATTTTAAAGTGATTGTGAGCAGAATCAATAAAATAAATAAATAAATAAATAAATAAATAATATAAAAAAAAATCAAATTTTAGAATAACCACCCACCTATTCTAAACAACCCTTACATTGGTTGTTTAATAGAAATATAAAATTTATGAGAGAACAATACTTATAAAATATAGGAAAATTCTACAATGCTCGACAAACACAGTTGAACACAACTAACAATGAGCATCATTAATTTAATTTATAATAAATTATAAATTCTAAAAGACTCAATGTATAATTATAAATTATTTAAAAATCTAAAGGTCACCCAACTATGTTTTAATTTTTGTCAATCAAGTCACCCAACTATTTAAATGCATTCAATCAGACCACTTGTCGTTAACATTTAATGGAAGTGTTTATGTATCAGTTAATAACATTAGTATAATCACACATTTGATCTTCAATATCTATATATTCTTTTAATTTGGTCATAATTTTAATTTAATTTAATAAGTTTAATCTCCAATTAAATGGTGACATGTGTCACTACGAGATTGAAAGATAATTTATTAATTTTAATTATTTAATTTATTTTATTTTGTATCTAATCATATCACCACCTTATTTAATACAAAATATTGAAAACAATTAATCTAACTAATGGCAGATAAAAAAAAAAAGAAAGAAACTAACATGATTTTAAAGGGATTCAAACTTGGGATTTTAATAGAAGTATTTTAAATATATATATATGAGAAGATTATAACCAGTCCCAAAATTAATTAAAAATCTAAAGGTTATTTTCCATAATTTTTACTTTTATTATTTTAAGAGATTAAAGAAAAAGAAAGTCTTCTTATTCAAACAACGATTGCAGAAGCTGAAACAAACTGTAGACAATCAAAACATCATTCACTTCAAAGCTTCATTTCACAAACAACCAGCAATGAAATCAAAACAAATTATTAAACAAAATATGAGATAATATATTTAAGATAAAGTAATGATCTCAAGTTTCATGTCAGCCCGAGGAAGAAAACTACGAAACCCTTGAAGCTTCTTTAATTTTGTTTTTTGACGACCAAACAGTGTTCAAGTTTCAATTTTATCAGTTCAAGTTTCATTGCTTTTCCCAAACTGTTGGCTAATGTTGGCGGCATTTACCCATAATTTACAGCAAGGCTTTGATTTGTACTCAATTGTTACTGATTATAAATAATTACAATTAATAAAATATTTTTCAATCTCGTAGTGACACATGTCACCATCTAATTAGAGATTAATTTTTCAAATTAAATTAAAATTATGACCAAATTGAAAGAATATATAAATATTGAGGATCAAATGTGTTATTATACTAATTTTATTAATTGCCAAATCAACACTTCCGTTAAACGTTAACGAAAATGACATGATTGATTGCATTTAAATAATTGGGTGAACTGATTGACAAAAAAATCATTAAGAGCTTTTGAAACAGGTGTTATCACCTATAATCTCTTAGATTATTAAAAAAATCATTTTTAAAAAAATATTTTTAAATGAATTATAATCAATTATTTATTTCATGTAATACGTTTGGTTAGTATTTGAAAAAGAAATTATTAATTAAAATAAAAGATATTATTGATCAATTGTGTCTTTTAAGATTTTATTTGAAAATGACAAATTATGTTTTGAAATTCAGTTTTACATTTAAGAATTTTGAGATTAATGACTTGGTATCTAGGTTTTATATTTTATAGGTATTGTTTTCTCATAAATTTTATATTTCTATTAAGAGGAGGATGTAAGAGTTGTCTAGAATAAATGATTCTATGTTCTGAAATTTGAATATATTAGTTATTTATTTTATTGATACCGTTCATTTTAAATTTTATTTGCGTTCACTCTATAAATTCAACATCTGGGCCAAATCAAGCCCAATTCTTAATTTCTATCCAATAAATTTAAGAGACCTTTTTGAGCTCGGATTAAAGGTTTCGGGTGTCATCCCGAACTATTAACCCAGGGCTTGAGGTATTACAATGCTCCACCGCTTGAAGTTTATTTCCTACCCAGATTCGATACATAAGCGGCTTCTTGAGGTCAATGAACATTGCCACTCTCGCAAACCGCCTTCTGTTACTCGCTTCTTTGCATAAATCCACTTTGGTGACCCTGCCAATAAGATTACCGATGCAAGTTAGAATCTTTTTTTTAAACATATATTCCGGCAGGCCTGTGAAACGAATCCATGCTATAACGGTGGAGGGGAAATCCTCGGAGGTGCTAAAATTCCTTATCCATGGTTGGACAGTCAGATATTGACCATAATTAATGATCCAAGGTCCCTCGGCATGGACGCGTTCATAGTCTTGATCGTTTTGAAACTTGGCGAGGAAGTACCCTTTTCCAGATCCATTGGATTCTAATTCAAAAATAATTCAACAAGTTTAATCGCATATGTTTATAAATTCTATTAATGCAATCCACGTTTAACCCATCTTTTTCCCTCCCATTTCACACATTTTTCTCAGCATCCAAACATACCCCGTCAATGACTTTAGCTAGGGTTTTTATATAACAATCAAACATACCCTCGTGCACAATAAAATTATATCTATATTTGCTTGTTTATTTTTTAAGGGGTTCGTGTTTATTTGTATAACATTCGTGAGCATGTTCATTTAACATTTGAGAAACGTTCGTTTATTGTTTAGAAATCAAAACTCTCTTTTTACCCTTTTATTTGCAAACCAAAGAAACTTGTTAAATTATATAATTAGTCCTTAAATTCCTTAGGTTTTATAGTTTGAACTCCAAGGATCACATTATGTTCAATTGAGTCCTTACCTTCACCAATATTTAAAATGTAAAAAAATAAAATGAAAATAGAGTAAATAAGCTTATAAACAAGTTGACTAACGAGCTTGTAAACGATCCAATAAACAATTCGATAAACAAGCTTATAAACGAGCCAATAAATGAACTTGTTCGTGAAGACAAACGAATGAACACGGACGAACACACGTCTATTTATGTTTGTTCATTTATTAAATGAACATAAAATTTTTATTCATACTAATTTATTTAACTTAATAAATGAACACAAACGATTCGTGAATAATTTATCAAACACTTTATTCATTTACACTCATATGTATAATATCAATATTTAGTACATATAATTCTTTGCTAATTGAGCGTGTAAATTGTTCATTCAAGACATTTTTATCATACTTTAACAAAGTATAAAATTCTAGAAATAAAAATTTATTATTAATATTAATTAATGATTTAAGGGACAATATTTCTAGGATTTCTCTCGACCAGTCATGAAAATTTTTAAATTAAATAAACTTAATTATTAATGAATAAAAATTAAACCAACTTAATTTTGAAAAAACAAAGAATATTTTCCACTTTATTCTTAGTTTCTTACTACTCTAGTCTGTAAAGATTCCTTATCCCTTTTTAAATACTCCCTTGGTTTTCCTTTCTAAATCTTTTTTAGAATAAATTACACCCTACTATTATTTTATTTTATTTTAGTCGTTCAATTTTTTTAAATGACATCTAATGTTAAATTTTAATTATTTATCGTTAAAAAATTAATATAACTATTGATGTGATATTTTTATTTTTTTAATAATATTGTGGTATTATCTTATGATAACATATAAACATCATAATTAATTTTTTAATAATGGGTGATCAAAATCGTGTGGCCATCTTTTTATTTTTAAAAATTTAAATTCAGCAACAAAGAATAAATTATATTAAAAACAGAAGAAACTAAAAAGAGCTCGCCTATAAATCCAAGAGCCCCCAAGGAAGTCACCTCACGAATTTCTCAGTGTTTTCAAATAGTTGATTAAGTACCCCTTTGCTCTCTGATTCCTAAAAATCCATTCTTTTGTTTCTGGCAAACAAATTTTTCATTTTTCTTTGAATCCTCAAAGTTGAAATGTCTGTTCAGAAACTGACATTGATGATCAAAGTGTTGATCTTCCATGTTGTTCTTTGTTCATCTTTACATGTCTGTTTTGCAGCAATCGTTAATAGATCCACTCTCCATCCAACGGCTGTTAATAGTTTTGGCTCATCTGTTTATCTTCCTGTTTCTGGCAATGTCTATCCTCTTGGGTACTCCTTTCTTTCTCTCTTCATTCATTATTTCTTTGCAAATTGTCCTCTGATAATTCATGGAGTTTCTGTTTCCATCAGGTATTATTATGTGACAGCTGAGATTGGCAACCCGCCTAAGCAATTTCAGCTCGATATCGATACCGGCAGCGACCTCGCTTGGGTCCAGTGTGATGCTCCTTGTGTTGGCTGCACCCTGGTGAATTGTTTTACTATGATCATACGATTACGATGATTTGGATTGCTTGGTTGTTACGATGATTGATGCATTTGATCTTCGGCCTTTTAACAGCCTCGCGACCGGCGTTACAAACCAGAGAAGAACAATTACGTGCTTTGCAAGGAACCCATATGTGCCGCTGTCCACTCTCCGAATCCACCTCCATGCAAGAACCCTACTGACAAATGCAGCTTCCAGGTTGAATATGCCGATCAAGTTTCGGTTTCCGGCGTTGTCGTCTCGGATACCTTCCCCCTACGTCTCGTCAATGGAACAATTTCCCGTCCTCCTTTGGCCTTCGGGTAGATATTTCGAAATGACCATGTGATTGAACTCCGGGTTCTGTCAATTCTTATATCGAACTGATAAAATCTACCGTGTTGGCAGTTGTGGATACGGTATACGTAGCAGTGGTACTCACCCTCCTCCTCCCACCGCCGGAGTCATCAGACTTAGCAGGAGTAAACCGAGCATCTCGGCACAATTGAGTACCATGGGAGTAGCAGAAAACATTCTGGGCCATTGCTTCAATGATAAAGGAGGGTACATGTTCTTTGGAGCTGATTTCATCCCTAAATCCGGAATGACTTGGACACCTATGCCACAAAGTTCATCCGAGTGAGCCACAATCAAATCATTATCTCCACTTAACCTTCTTTAACAACCCCATGCATGTTATCTCTTAAAGCATGTTCCTTTCAATTTCAGTAAACATTATTCATTAGGTCCAGCGGAAGTACTGTTCAATGGGAAGCCTACTGGCATCAAGGGCCTTCATGTTATCTTCGACACCGGATCGACCTACACGTACTTGAATTCGAGAGTTTATGGATCCGTGCTTAATGAGATAAGGAAAGATCTGAGCGGAAAGCCAGTACAAGAGGTGAAAGATAGAGCACTTCCAATCTGCTGGAAAGGCAGCAGGCCGTTCAGATCCGTGGCCGATGTTCAGAACTATTTCGGAACATTGGCATTGAGTTTTATAGGTAACATTCAGCTACAACTATCACCCCAAGCTTATCTCGTCATCACTGTAAGTACCTCCGAAAACCGTCTAGGAGAAATCGAAAACGACCGATTCGGAGAATTGAATGTGACAAGCTGATGTTTCTCAGGAACAAGGGAATGTTTGCCTGGGGATTTTGAATGGCACTGAAGTGGGACTAGGAACAGTCAATGTCATTGGAGGTAAGACTAAGAGGGTGTCTTCATTATTACTGTGACTCAACGAGTTGAGTCTCTTGTTAACTCGGCCTTGTTTTCCTGTACAGATATTTCACTGCAAGGCACAGTGATGATATACGATAACGCGAATCAGAGGATCGGATGGGCTTATGAGGATTGTACTCCCAAGTTTGGCTGATTTTTCTAATCTTCTCTTGTAATATGCTATACGAACTTTTATGCCAATAAATTAAATAAATAAACTTTTTGAATCTAAACTCATTTCATATCTGAACTTGTCCAAGCTCCATTGTTGTGTTAACTCAAGATTTTTATGTTAACAATATGAAATTTTAAAAAAAATAGAATATATAAAATTATAAAATTTTAATAGATACGACTATTCCAACACTCATCCATCACTCAAAACTCAAAAGGCAACAAAGCTATCATGCATGAAAATGAAATGTTTCAATCATTTTAATTCAACTTCCATCATAGGCACCTTTTACATTGTTTTGGAATAAAGAGATGCCAGTGTCATTGGGGATGAACATTCGAGTAAAAAAGTTCGAATTAATTAAGTTGACTAGTCGTATTTTATGACCTAAATTTTATTTGAGTTTTTTTAATCGTATCGAGTGGTTCTAGTTTTGATATTCTAATTCTAATTATTTATAATATTATGGTGCAAAATGATTCTAAATTTTTTATTTTCGCTAATCATATAAGATATACATATATATTCATTTATTTTTTATAATGTAATGTTATTTAATAAATCAAATATAATATAAAATTATAATAATATTTATCGAAGTTTATATTTTGAAGATAATATATTTATGAGAGTATAAAAGAAATCAAAATATTTTGATAACTAATCTATATATATTTATATAAGACAATTAAATTGCATGGATTAAAATTATTAAATTTGAGAGCATTAAACTAAATATCTAGCTTATGTATAGTACAATGAGCAATAACATAACATTATTTAAAAGATTTAATTATCATTATTTAAATTATAATCAAAATTTTAAAATTTAGAAGGAAAAAAAACAGGGACTAAGATGCTAAATTAAAATGTAGAAAATAATTCTGAAACTCACACGTAATAAAGGAACAAATAACATAATCTAACATTTTTTTATCAAAATTTCCGAAAATCATTTTGTTCTGTCTGTAAAAAAATGAATATTTTTTATGAAACGCAACGTGGAAGCTGTACGAAGTTGCAAACTCACCAAAACCCCGAAATTAATATCCTTTATTTTAGCTGTTCCCTATACCCTTTGCTTCTTCACAAATCTTTCCATTTTAATCCAAACAAAAAGCCTTTTTTTTCTTAGCTTTGTCAGATTCCCAAGAATCCAACTTTCTGTCGATTTTTAAAAAGGATTTGCTCAGCAAAAGATGGAAAATAAGAAAAGGAAAGCAACAGTGCCATGGATGATGATGATGATGATGTTCTTCCTTGTATTGTCTACAAATTTATCATCTTGTTCCTCGGCTGCCAGTCAGCAATCCCAAAACAAAAGGTCAACCCATCCTAAGGGTCGTACTGGGTTCCTTTCATCTTTTCTTTTTCCTGTCACTGGGAATGTTTATCCTCTTGGGTAAGTTCTTTTTCTTAGAAATGTGAAGTTTGTTTATTCATGTTTATTTGTTGTTTGTTTTATTACCTGAATGGGATTCTTTATTGATTTCTCTTCTTAGTCTTGCTTTCCACCGGGAAATCTTAGTACCATTTGATGATAAATCGTTCTTGATTTAATGATTATATTAATTTTTGGAAGAATCCTTGTAATTTTTCTGAATTTGATCTTAGGGTCTATGAGAGTGTAGTTCCATTGAAAAATAGTTGCCCTGTTTGTCTAAAATCATGGAATTCATGCTTTGTTCAGGTACTATTCCATATCTCTTACCATAGGCAATCCACCCAAGGTTTTCGAGTTCGATATCGATACGGGCAGTGATCTCACTTGGGTCCAATGCGATGCGCCTTGTACCGGTTGCACTAAGGTAATGTTTTCTGCAGACTTCGATTGCTATCATGCCCTGAAGGCCTGAACTATGTCTTGTTATGCCCTTGTCTTTGTAGACGATTGATCATCTTTACAAGCCCCAAAAACACATCCTTGTCAGCTGTGGCCATCCTGCCTGCAGTGTGGTTCACTTCCCTGATAGTCCTAGATGCGAGAAACCAGATGACCAGTGTGATTTCGAGATCGATTATTTTGATCATGGTTCGGTTCTTGGCGTGGTGGTTTCTGATGTCTTTTCTCTTAGATTTATGAATGGCTCTCTCGCCCGTCTGCGTTTGACTTTTGGGTGTGTATTTTTCACACACTACCTCAATTATAAACCTTAATTTTCAGTTTTGGCTATGGTTCCGGTACTATTAATGAATATAATTTCCTGATATGTTGAAATGGCTGCGGAAGTCACATTTCCTCTGACCAATATCGTATTTTATTATCCTTTGTTTACAGATGTGCTTATGATATTAAAAATCCCAGTCCATACAATCCTCTAGGAGCTGGAGTCCTTGGGCTTAGCAATGGCAAAGCAAGCTTATTGTCCCAGCTGCAAAGCTTTGATCTCACGAGAAACGTAATAGGCCATTGTTTAAGTGGGAAAGGTGGAGGATTTTTGTTCATAGGAGACGATCTTGTCCCTTCCAAAATGCCTTGGATGCCAATGTCAGCCAACTCGTAAGTACTAAGTTTTAGTGACTCCTGATACCGTTAACATTTTTTTCTCATCTATGCTTCCTTGATCATTTTGTTGCAGTAAAAATTATTTGTCGAGTCCAGCAGAAGTCTTTTTTGACGGAAAGCCAACTGGTATAAAGGACCTTAAACTAGTTTTTGACAGTGGGAGTTCCTACACTTACTTCAACTTCCGAGCTTATGAAGCTGTACTCGATCTGGTAAGTAAACGAGTTGAGTATTCCCCTATTGAGAGTAATCTTTAAGCTTTGCTTAAGGAACGGATCTTGTACTTCATGTTTCAGGTAAGGGGAGGCTTAAATGGGAAGCTGTTGGATACAGTTGAGGATAAAGCTCTCCCAATCTGCTGGAAAGGAACAAAACCGTTTAAAACGGTTCATGATGTCAAGAACTATTTCAGCACCTTGACATTGAGCTTTACAGAGACCCCGACTGTTCAGCTAGAATTACAGCCGGAAGCGTATCTTATTGTCACGGTAAGCACAAAATCTAGGATTTTCCTTCAATATGATACAAGCGAACGCAGGTGTAACGACAGTTCTATCGTGCTATTCCGTTCCCAGGAAGAAGGCAATGCTTGCTTTGGAATCTTGAACGGCACGGAAGCAGGATTGGGAGACTTCAACATAATTGGAGGTGAGAAATAATAGAAGAATCACTTTTCGCCTTTTTCAGGATCTTCTATTATCGAACTCTTCCTCATTTGATCTTTTTTTTTTTCACTCCTCAGACATCTCAATGATAGGGAAAATGGTTGTTTACGACAATGAGAAGCAGCGGATTGGGTGGATATCAGCCGATTGCGATAGACTTCCATAGTCCTGAACCCTTCCATTCTCTTAGCATTTACTTCTTTGTAATTGCATTTATCATTTTCTCACCCCGTTTTCTGTAATTCTTTGTCTTTGCAGTAACAGTTTTGACAGCAATTACAATGAAGATTTTCGACAACCATATGCAACAAATTTCGGTATCGTGGACGAGAATTATCCTTAAACACAAGGTTCTGAAGAAAGAAAAAAGTAGTAAAAGTTGGGGCGGAACGACGGTAAAAGACTCCATACTATCATATGTAGAGACGGTAATAAACGTTCGATACAAGGTATACAAGTTCGACACTAGAATTTAAGTATGGAAAATGCATCACTCTGGTTGTCTTGTATTCGTTACATGTACTTGAGGTGGTGAAACTTTATTTTATATGGTTGGAGGATCATGTTTTTGTATTGATCGTGTTCGAATATCTCAGAAACGAGTACTTTATCGAAAACGAATCTCAGAAACGAGTATTTTATCGAAAACGAAGAATGCGGGTAGCATAGGTGATTGAATTGCTTAATGTGCGTATTGTTACACATATTAAGCGATGAAAATGTGATTGGATTTGTATAGAGTTCTTTCGTTACACACAAAGAGACGGGGGATAAAAGCAGATCTTCAAACACGAGTGCGGCGGAAGGTGATGGATCTATTTAAAGTTACAAAGTTTCTATACAAATAAAAATTTACTATCAATAAAAGTAACTATTCTTGGCCTTTAGCTTTAAGCAAATAATTTGATTTAATCTTTCATTTTTTAAATTCTTTAATTACTTTTTTGTTTTAAATTTATTTTTCAATATATTTTCCAATCATTGTAAGAACTTTAATTTCTATTTTTACGATTTAGTTCCTTAATATTTTTTTTATTTCACTCAATTTGCTCTTATATTATTATTTTTTTCTTTTCATCAATTCATTGGCTCCATAGAAGTTTGACATCATACTTCTATGGAAAATTTCTTTAAATTTTTATAAAATAATATTATAAACGTATTATATAATTTTAAATAATATTTAATTTATTTTTTTGAATTGAATAATATTTAATTTATTAATGTAAAAAGGAATATAAAAAATATACCGACTAAAATATTATTATATTTAAATGAAAATGATGAAATCGTCAAATTCGATCTACCGAATTCCATATTTTAACCATTTATCTACGCGCACGCCCACCGGTACACTCATGGACTTTTAGTCTCGTGTTACCGAACAAATACGCCAAAGCACCATAGTATTTCTTCAATCTCAACATCCACAATTTCCCCCTTTAAAACGGCTTCTGCAGGTACATAAACATATCCTGGAGCGGCGACAGCTGATTATTATTACCCTGCATCTGTGAAGGAAATCCAATATCCAGAGTGGCATCGAGGTAATTATAAAGAGAATCAAGGGCGTTTTTGTTGCCAGTACTTCCCAATTCGTCCTTCCATTTAGGCATGCTTTGAACCTCGGTTGGGAACTCCGGCAACACCACGTGCTCCGAGCAGCTGGAGTCCGTGTGAAATCTCGGCACCGATTCCGACGAGTCGAAGCACATGTAATCGCTACCCGTCACCATCGAAGCCGGCGGCATACCGCACATATCCTTGCCGAGTGTCCAAATATCCGGTTTCTTGTCCTCAAACTCCGTCACGCTGGCTTGCTTCTTGTCCTCAAACTCCGTCGTGCTGGCTTGCTTCTTAACGCTCCCTTTCTTGTTGTAAATCCGGCAGAGCACCCAATCGTCTAACTGCAAAATAAATCAATAAAGAAATAATTTATTGTCTAAATTCGATGAACTTAAATATTTATTTATTTAAATAATTAATTATATGAATATATGATGGACCACGTTGCGTAATTTTCAAGTATGACGAGGCTAAAAAGGTCATTTAGACCTACACGTTCCCGGTCCAAACTCTTATCATGCATGTGAATCTCTTGTTTACCGCTAAATTTTCAGCCAGTGACGAGAGCAAGTGTTTGAATTATACCCTTAGGCTGTTCTTCTTGCGAACCGAGCGGTCAACGTTGGCTAACCGATATTCATGCATAATCCAATTAGTTTTCTCTCCTTTCGGAGCTTTCCCGGAGTAAAACACCAAAGCTTTTTTAATACCGACCGGTTTCGGTTTCCCAATCGGCTTATCAGCCCCGGTCGCCTTCCAATAGCCAGACCCGGCAGCACGGTTCGGCCTTGAACCGTTCGGATATTTCCTGTCCCTTGGCGAAAAGAAATACCATTCTTTCTCTCCGTACAACGCCAAATCTGTAAATCCAAAAAAAATCGAATAAATTTAGACAGTAAAAAAAATGCAAGGACTAAGAGAAATCAAAGAGAGAAAGAAGAACTTACCCGGCAGATCCCAAGGATTGAATTGGTAAAGGTCGAGTTCGGCTATAACAGGGACGGCGATCGACTGCGACGCACATTTACGGCAGAGATAGTGCATCACAAGCTCCTCGTCCGTTGGATGGAACCGGAAACCAGCTGGCAGCTGTAACTGTAACTCCGCCGCAGTCATTTCTTTTTATTAGCTTCAGATTTTTTTCCCACACCCGCAACTTTTCGCTTCTTTTTATTATCTAACCTATGCTGTGGCGGCCATTGAAACTTAAAACGTAAGGGAGAGCGATGAATTTATAAGAGGGTGAAGGGGACACGTGGCAGGGAGAGTGGTTCTAGAATGAACGTAAGGGTGATGGGGGACACGTGGAGGACATCGAACTGAAGTGGGTGGGTGTGGACATCCCACATGTGCCGTGATTTTGTCATTGCTTACGCTATTTGTTTTGGACGGATGCTCAAACATTTTTGTGTTCCAAAACAACCTCCAGATTCGTGTAATAAATCGTCATGTCTTGATCTGGCCACTTATTTTTTAGGATAAATTATACGAGTGACCATCTAATTATATTTATTTTTCATTTCGATCATCATTTTTAAATTCTTGTCAATTAGAATATCTAACTATTTAAATATATTTAATCAATTCACTGTCTATTAACAATTAACAGAAATGCTAAGTTAATAAAATTGATATAATAACATATTTGATCTTCAATGTTTATATATTCTATCAATTTGGTCATAATTTCAATTCAATTTAATAGTTTTAATATCTAATTAGATTGTGGCACATGTCACTATAAGATAAGATGATATTTTATTAATTTTAATTATTTATTTTATTTTGCACCCAATAAAATGTTAGCACATGTCAGGCGTTTTTCCCAAAAAATCATCGGTGACCAGTATATTTACCGATCTAACATCGGTCAGACTATATTTCCCGATCTAACACCCTTTACAGTAAGGCGCGCCCCCTGCAGCGCGCTATACACTGATTTGGCGTCACGTGGGGTAAGGTGCGCCCCCTACGACGCGGCTTATGCTGACATGGATATACGTGTGTATAGCACGACCCCTGGGGCGCGCCTTACGCCACGTAGGGTATAGCGCGGGTCAGGGGTCGCGTCTGACCTTTAAAATTATATATAGCGTGGGGCAGGTACCGCGCCTTGTATAATTGTTAAAACTTTTCTCGGTTATAAATACATTTCTCCCCCGGGTTAAGTTCCTCACATTTCCTCACATCTCTCCTCTCAACTTATAAATTAATATAATAATTTCGTCAACGAGTCAATAATTCTGACAATTTTCTCATATTTTATTCAGAAGTTCGTGCAATTTTTGGTATAAGGTAATTTTGTGATAAATTTTTTTATTATAATTATTATTTATTATGATTATTTGGAAAAAAATATTATACTAATTGTTGTCAATTAATTTCTGTGTTTGTAAAATTAGAAAGCGGGAATATAAGTCGAAATAGTTTTGCGGTACAAGTAATAATATAAAATTATATTATTTAAATTATTTACGTTTATGTGTAAAAAAATTTATTCTATTATATTTTCATTCTTATATTATTTATTTAATCAGCATTGTTTCAGTTTTTTTTTTTTGCAGATATAATATTGCCGCACTTTTAAACTCAAAGAATGGCGCGACTTTCAGCTATTGTTTATTATGATGGTGAAATTTGAGAATATGAAACCGGCGTTGTTTTCGTATCAAATGAGCGTGTTAAAATATCATTGAAGAGAAACATAACTCTTGAGGAGCTGATAACGAAGATTTCGAGGAAGATTCATGTTGGAAGTAGTAGAAGAATGTCGTCATTGCAATACAGATTTCCAACATCATTGTTGCCATTAACTTAGACAGCGTTCAAACTTTTGAACAATGATGATGTTGAAATGATAGTTGAAGTTCAAAGTAATTATTCAGACGCCGATATTGAGATGTATGCAAATTTTATTAAAATGTGTGCCGTTCGGGGTCAATCATTAAGCTCCCACTATGGGCTGGCTGAACAAGTTGATCAAGTTGACAGCCCGACGACAGTAATGTGTAATGATTTTAATGCCATAATGGGGAAACATTCATCCGCAACTCCTTACGATATGTACCGAGGTGGGTCGACGAACAATCCGTATGGCAACATCGCGTCCAGTTCAAGGGGAAGGCATTCATCTGTAAATCCGTTTGACCTTAATATGGAGATGTCATCGAAGCAACCATCTGTGCAGTTTCCATTTGACACGATGGCTTCAAGCTCCAGGGGGAGGCATTCGACTGCGAGCTTTTTCGATCTGAATGTCGATATGTCTTCCAGTTCAAGGGGAAGGCGTGCAAGTAGTAGGTTCTTCAACCTAAATGTGGAGAGCATGGAGGAACCATCATCTCCACCAGAAGAACCGCTTCGTGAGCCTGGTGCGGATAGTGCTGAGACTGAACTATTCATTCACCCAGAATCACCGCAATTCAACTCCGATGATGATGAAGTTCCAGAAAATGTGGCACAAACTGACCCTCCTGCATACATGTATGAAGCTTATTATGGTGCAATGTACGGGTCAGAATTTGCATATATGCCTCATCTCGGTGACTATGGATATTACTCATCAATAAATAATGGTGAGTTATCTTTAGGCATGGAGTTTTCAAGCAAAGAAGAAGTGGTGATGGCTATAAAAAATTACAATATCCGTAATTCTGTTCAGTCCAGAGTTAACCAATCCACGACCGAAAAATATGTATGCTACTGTGCCCGAAACGAAAACGGATACAATTGGATGGTTCGCATATCGAAAAGGAAGAGGAAAAACAACATATGGGAACTAACAGTATACAACGGTCCTCACACATGTTGTGCTGGAGGGGTCAACCAAGATCATCCCAACTTGGACTCTGAAGTGATATGTCAAGCCATCATGCCCATGGTAAAAGCAAGCTCTCATATAGTTGTTGTTGTGTTGATTTTAGCTATACAATCGCAGTATGGGTACACTGTCTCCTATAAAAAAGTTTGGTTGGCAAAACAAAATGTCATTGTCAAACTTCATGGCGAATGGGATGCATCTTACAACGAACTTCCACGCTGGTGCGGAGGTTGAATCTTGGGACAATTGTGGACTTCGAAACCTCCTATGCATACCATAATGATAGAGTTCTCCGCGATCGATGCCAATTCTACCTGGTTTTTTGGACTTACCCATAGTGCGTTAATGTTGTCAAATACTGCAAGCATGTGGTCCAGATCGACGAGACTTTCTTGTATGGAAAATACAAGCAAGTTTTATTATTGGCAGTTGTCCAAGATGGCAATCGCAACATTCTTCCAGTTGCTTTTGCTCTTGTCGAAGGAGAAGATACAGATTCTTAGGCTTTTTTCCTCCAAAATTTATGTGTATATGTTATCACGAGGGAAAACATCTGTGTCATTTCAGATCGCGGAGTTGGGATCAAAGCAGCAATAGAGTCTTTGGGTCCAATGTGGCAACCACCCTTTGTCCAACATAGGTATTATCTCCGACACATTGCTGCGAACTACCATGGAAGGTACAAGAAGAATTATGAGCATCAATTAATTGTGCGTATGGGTAAGTGAAACTGATGTAGTTTGTTTTCTTTCGATCTTTTTAATTTTGCAAAGAAAGCAAGTTAGTAAGTTATGCATTTTTTGATCACGTTACGAACTACTTCCTCGAACGTTTGAATCAATGCTTCAAGATTTGCGGGCGAAGAACGAGGAATGATACGATTACATCAGTCTCATCGATAAAGAAATGTGGACGAACGCATATGATGGTGGATATCGATATGGACACATGATGACCAACTTGGCAGAGGCAATCAATTCAACTTTAAAGGGTGCACGTCACTTACCAATAGCGGTTTTGGTAAATACTACATATTTTCGTTTGAGGGCGCTTTTTGTGACGCTCGGGGGACAAGCTCAAACCTGGATGCAAGGCGATCATGTCTATCACCCTAGATTAGTTGCAGATCTACATAAAAAATTTTGCATCAAATGGAATATCTGTAACAAGCTTTTCTAGAAGGCATGAAATGTTTCGTGTCACAGAGTTGCCGCGACCTCTTCAAGGGATTGAAGCTGTGTCGTTAAGAGTAAATCTAAGGGACAGAACGTGTGACTGCGAGTTTTTTCAAGCACTTAAGTATACATGCTCTCATATGATAGCAACTTGCTCGCATACACGTCAAGACTATAACCATTTTGTGGATCCTGTATACCTACTATCTGAAGTTTTTAAGGTATACGAATTTGAATTTCCCCCCATAGGTAATGACAAAGACCCTGATGAGGTTCAAGATTGGCTTTCGATTGTACCAAATCCGAGTTTATTGAGGGAGTGTGGTTGTCCAAAATCCAATCGAATTCATTACGATATGGATATTCGAGAAAGATCTAGACAAGACAGAAGATGTGGGTGGGCATTGTAGAAACCCAGGACACACTAGAAAAACATTTCTACTTCTGTTGCCATCAAGTAACAATTGATGAGGAAATGATGTATTTGTTTATCAAATAATAATTCTTGTACTTTAATTTGCATTTACTTCAAGTTAATGTCATTCGATAATCGTTGATGAACATTAAAAAACGATACAATAATACAAGATTGGACGTTTGAGTTATATGTGATTATAATAAAAGAGATAATAAGTGACAAACTTAAGAAAGTTATCGAACAATTTGGTATTTTAAAATAATTTTAAATACAACAAACTTACAATAAGTATTAAATGGTAAATGATAACCAAATTACAATAACTGATATTAAATGGTAATAAACAAAATTAACTGAAATACATTTTAAAAAAGTCAAACAAATTTAACAAAATAAAGTAAGTATTAAATGAGAAATAATAAAAAATTACAATTAAAAAGTCCAATAAACTGAATACAAATATAATAAAAAACAAAATCTATCGATGCCTGCGACACGAATATGTTCCGTTGGGCGGTGACTTTCGGTCTCGAGGAGGATTTCTTCGTATCACTGCTTGTAACTCCTCGCTGTCATCATCATCACCATCATCATCGTCATCGTCTTTGTCGTCGTCGTCGTCATCGATGTCGTCGTCGTCCTGAGTAGGTACATTAGGTTAATGAGGAGCTGATGACGATGAAGCACCTCCATAGAATAAGGACCCTGGAGGTGTATGACTGACTATCCCACCGGCCTGTGAAAACTAGGAAAACTCATAAAACACAGACA